CACAAAAAATTAAAACAGCTAAAAAAATTCAAAAATGGATGTCGCTCGTAAACCTAGCTCTAAAATACAAAAAAAAATCACTTAATGCCATGGAGTCTGTAATGAATGAACAACAATTATTGAATTCAATCTTCAATAATCTGTTTTAACTACTTTCTCTCTCTAAATTGAACTTTGATCTGAACAATAACACTGGCTTCTTCCAAAATTTTTGTTTTCCTACTAAATTCATGTTCGAAAGTGAAACTAGTTTAGGGTTTACCTGAAAAAATCCAGAAATTTATTTTAGTGAAAAATTTTCTCAGCGATCAGGCACCTACAAGCATTTTAAACGGAGAAATTGAGAAATAAACAGAACTTGCAACAGATAAGATTGAGACAAACCTACCTATTGGCGGCCGTAGAGGAATGAACTTTTCAGGCTTTCGCAATCTTCTAGTGCGAAAGTGTGATTCGAGGTTGAAATATGTGGCAAAAAGTGGAAAAAGCCCTCTACTTTTTGAGCGACTGCAGAAAAGTCCCTAAACTCAGGTTTGATGCAAACAACTCCCTATATTCGGTTGAGTATGGTATTTTGTGGCCCCTTTATAAACCATCTAAAACTAACGCACACAACTAAAAGCAAAGGTTTAAATTTAGGGTTAGTGGAAAAATAAAAAAACAACCAAACTCTAATTGAGCTAATGGTTGGATCTTTAAAAATATATTTGGTTTAAAGGAGATAGAAGAAAGGGAAGAAAAAAGAAAAATATTTTATTCAATTAAATTAAAATATTGGATTAAAATTTTTTTTTCTCCCGTCTTCATCTTTTTGTTTTTTTCGAACCAAATATATTTAATGTGATAACAAAGTCAAATTGTTAGAGATCCTTAGGTGATGCATGAACACAATAAATTCAAATGACTTTGACTTGTTGAGATGATTCATTCGTGAAAAAGATGTTGAGGCTGGCATCGTGAGAGTATCCATGGTGAAGAAGGAGGTGCTTGACTCTCTATTTGGTATAAAGATGAGGTGATTTCTCCACCCAATTGAAGTGTTAAGAACTTCGCGTGTTACTCTCAAGTACATAAATATAGTGAGTTGCTCATGTTAGTGCACATACCTAATAATGGACGGTGTTACTCTCATGCCTTGCAGGGAGCTAGCTGTTCATGAAACTTAAAAGTAAAGGAGGGAAATTAGAAAAATGACTAGCCTTTTGGTTACGATGACATTTGAAGCATATCTATTGAATTTTATTCCAACTCCCTTTAGGCACGGTCTTAGTATTAGAGCAAGTGGTTTGATCCTTTCACTAACATAGTCTTATTGGCTAGTTTTCTCCTTCCACAAAGGAAAGGCAAGGTATTGGCATAGGGTAAAGGCTAGGCGGTGGTGGTATTAGGTTCTCTTGGCAATGATTGTCATGGACATGGTTAGCTCCCATGAACTGATCCTCTTAGTCCACCGGTCACTATTAGAGATATTAACAGACATGAAATTAATTATATAAGTTAGTGAATTGGTTAATTATAGTAGGAGGATTTTCAATTTATTATTTAGTGTAATGAATTGTATCTAAGGTTTATTTTAAAACCCTATATAAAATTTCTCATGTAATTGGTTTATTTATCTCTAAATAATAAAATATATCTCTACTCATATTCACATACTTTAATTTTCTATATAGTGAAAAGGTACTAAAATTACTTCTGGAAAAACCAGTAATGCTTAGCATCGGATATACACTTTTAGAGAAGCAAACATGGTGTCTCTAGGCCTAGGGCTATATGACACTTACGGTTTACCACTTCCCTCAAACTAATAATAATAATAATAGTCATAATAAAAGAAACTTAATTTACTATTTTTTTGAAAAAATTTCTTTAAAAATTTTTTTTTAAATACTTTTATTAATAATTTAATATTAAATAATAATTAACCATCATATAATTTAAAATATCTTTATTAGTTATCCTCATCATCCACCATTGCAATCTATTGTTAAATTTCAACAGTCATACCAAACAAAATCTAAATTGACTTGAGTTTTTTCAAGACCGTCAGGATGCAAGAATTAAATCATCCCTTAAAAAGTTACTATGGCAAAAATGTTCTGCCATGATAAGATCAACTTTCTTAACCAAACCAATCTAATGTCACCACAGTAACAATAAAGAACTAGATGCCGTCTGGGTTAATAAATGGAAGATGATGGACCACTCTACAGAGATAAATAGTAACCACTATGTACATCTCTCCTAGAAGTCTGGCACAATATTTCTTAAATATGCTTCTATTTTATTGTCAACTATAAATGTCAATCTGGGACTCAGGTCCAGTGTTTTCATTCCAGTTTCTCATGCCAGAAATGAGTGAATGTATCCTTCAGGGTTTGATGGCTACCTCTGCTGATATTTTGTGAGTTCCACAACCGGGGTTTTAGTTGATCTCGTTCCCTCTCATCTTCTCAACAATATGCCTGCTCCTCTCTTCTAGGTGACGCCTCTTCTCTTCAAATTTCTCCCCCATCTTCTTCCCCAAATCAAGCATCCTAGCCCTTCTCCCCGTTTTCTTTGGCCTTGAATCATCATCTTCAGCTGTAGAATTCTGTTTTCCAAGTTGTACAGAAGACCTGGATGTTGATTGACAAGCTGGGATTTCTTCTATGTTTTTGTTGCATGCTTCATGCAGTTCATCGCCTGCTAATAGTGGAGTTTTTAGTTCTTGCAAGGACTTGCTGCCCTTTATAGATGGAACTGTGGAACTTGCTTCACTGATTGGTTGCTTAAAGCTTTCGGCCTTCCTGTGCTTTTGATACTTGCTTTCCGGACAATCACTTGCAGATACATTACTGGTTTCTTTGGATTTTGCTTCAGTAAGTTGGGGGCTGCAAGGTTCAGACAAGCTGCTGTTATCACCAACTGCTTCTTGATTATGCCATATAAACGGAGCAACTTTCTTTTGGACCCAATCATCCTTCTCTGCTAACATCCAAGGAAGACAAACACTTTCACTGTTTGGAAGCACCATAGTTTCCCGTATGGCTGACTGCATCAATGCAAGTAGGATCAGATAAAACTACTTAACAATTTCTTCTTTTTTTTCCATTTTTATTTCACTGTTGCTTTTGGTCAAAGAAATGCAAAACCATATCAACATTTCACGGTATATCTTTTGCAGAAGATAAACATTTAAAGACAGTGTTTAAATATAAAATGAACTGTATTGATAATTAAATAATTAAATTATATCAACTTAAAAACGAATTGAGGCAGAGTAAAAGTGAACTTCTAAGAGGAAGAAGCAACTGGTATACAAGTCCCAAAACCTAATCAAAATTGAAATTTTGCCAACCAAGATTCATTATCATGTATAATATCTCTTTATAATCTCTGCATTTCAAATGACAGCCATTCTATCTGACTTCGTTATAAATCACTTATGGTTCAAAAAGACCATGGGTCCTACATGTTAGGGGAAAAAATATGCTGTCAACAAAACCTTTGGTTTACAAAAGAAGACCAAAAAGCACATACAAATCCACTAAAAAATCATCGAGGAAGCTTATTCTTTCTTGGATTAGAGTCAGTGCTTGGGCAATTTTTTTTCTTTTTTTTTTTTTCTTGGGCCTTAGTGCTTGGGGAATTTAAGAAGCAGAATACTTGAGGCAAAGTGCTAGTTAAGATGTTCATGGATGGAAGAGGAGGATGATGTATATATCCAGAAAAATGGACCTAAAAATACAAGTTTTTGTCACAAAACTAGTATCTATTAAGCAATAAAGCTAAGCCGAAATCAATTGAGAATTGGTAGCTAACAGGATCTTCATTTAGTCTGATCAAGGACTATATTCTCTTGAAGATCAAAAAATTTTCAAGCAATGTCAACTCTAATATTTTATTGTACTACCACCATGTGACTAGCTATCTTCATACCTTGAACCTGTTTATCAAGAATAAAGCAATATGTCCACTAGTAATCTTGTGTTCGCCAACAGAGGACTCTAGATCAAACTCTATATCTGGCATGGATGTGAAGCCAAACCATAACTGATCAGAAGGAGGTGGCTTTATACGTAACTGCAGCGTTCCACGAAGGGATGCAACCCTTATTGATAAAGAGAGAGGCACCTTCAATCCAACATATCAATTAGTTTGTATTTTAATATTGTCAGAGTCTTCAACAAAAAATTGTTTATCAATTCAGTGAAAACTAAAGTTGTTTTGATGCAGATATTTAACAAGTGCAGAAAGATGATGAGAAAATAAAAGGCAATGCTCACTTCATAGGGCAAGATGAATGTATGAACAAGCAAAAGCAGGTACCTTCATTATGTTAAAAAAGACACAGTAATTATATGAATGAATCTATGAAGATGTAGTTTAAAAGTAAAAGCCTATGTAAACCAAAAGATTATATTCAGACCTGTGAAACCTGTTTGGCTATGGAATTCAGCATAGACTTCCACCGGGACAGATAATTTGTTGTCAGCACTGTGCCTTTATAGCTCTTTACGCCATCTAAACCCAGGGACAAAATAAATCAGGATAAAATGGCATCATTCCTCACAAACCAGATCAGGAAAAGAAAGTGCAAACTTTGGACAAACCAGAATATATCAGGACTTAGATGTGGCACGGTAGATCAAATTATGGAAAGAAAGGGACTTGAAATAGAAGACAGAAAGCAATTCTTGCGCCATGCCTTAAACCACTTGTCTACCTCATTATTTGTATATTATGAACATTGTCTGAAATTTATTTGGTCTTTAATGATTGAGTCAAGAAGCCACTTGGTAAGAGAGACTAACTCATCTTGGTAAGAGAGACTAACTCATCTCTCAGTTATACACTGATTACATAGACTAATTCCTTGTTGACTACTTAAAACAACATTCAACATGCTTTGACAAACATATTTCAATAAATCTTTTAAACAACCTGGTTACATAATTACAATTTGTCAATCAAATTTCACTACATATCATTCTCAACCTCAGTTAGATATGTATAAATCAGGTTCATATTTTTTATCATAGGAAAAAAAAAAAAAAACAGGTTCACATTGCAGTGTGTTCATATTTGACATTTCATTTTCATTTTGGGTTCAAAAGATATGGACTAGGGGTGGCAATGTCCACCAATCCCCAAGGTGGCAATGTCCACCAATCCCCGAGGTGGCAGGGCGGGGATGGGGGACACCTGCAAACTGGTCCATCCACAGGCAAAGAGAGGAGGGCATGGTCCTTTAGAACTGTTTTTTTGCCAAAATGGTGACAGATAAATGGTAGGATATGAACTGGCATTTCCCATATGGTTCACATTACCCTTTATCACTCGGCCAACCCAGCAGGGACCATTCAGTCATTAAGGTTATTTACCAAAAGCGGAACATTGACCCATATCTGCAAGAAAGTCAGCATACTGATTCCCCTCTACTACAGCATATGTCTAATCTCAACCACCCTGGAAATTAAACATTAACACTACTGCAAAAAGTTATGATGACAATGATTGAAAAAACAACAGCAAAAACAAAATTGAACATAACAATAAGAATGATCATCAGAAGAGAATGGCAAAGCTGCAACAGAAACAAGAATAATAGCTACCCACATTAAAATCATAAGTTTTTCTTACTAACCAACTTTAGGCTCTGCATCTGCTTCATTCTTTTGCTCAACCACATCAAGAGTCCCTTCAGAAAGATTCAACTGCTTTCCATAATACTCAAAGCCTTCAAGTAGTTCTGAAGATAAATTTCCAGATGAATTCTGTTCTGATGTTGTGTCTATTATACCCTTTTGAAGATCTGGTTCACGAACTTCAAGTCTTGTTTCAACATTTAATACAGCCCCACCAGAATATTCAATGTCTACTTCAAAAGCCCATACCTCTTTCATGTCTGCAGGAAGAAGTCTCATTCCATGGATATAAGGTGGCAGATTCCCGACGTCTATGTCAGTACAGATGACATCACCAATGTAAGTAGGGGTCCTCATATTGGACAATGTCCTCTGTTACAAGTACCAAATATTATCAGATATGACCAAATTTAGAAATGTATAAACAAGAGAAACACGTATAACTTCAAAAGACCAGAGATTACATGCAATAATGCAGGACAAAATTTGACCCCATCTGAAGTACAATAAGATGTCACACTCTGATGAAACTATTTGAAAAGACCAATGTCTGAAAAGAACTCAAATGTTTTATATTATTAACAAGTAAACTTATTCAAGACAAGCTAGATTGATTTTGTTACCTCACCCTCCTCCATCCAAATATAAACCAAATAGCTGAATGTGCAGTTTCCTGAAAATGAAAAAGAAAAAAGGAAAAGGAAGGAACATTTGAACCTATACCTAACAACAGCCGCAATTCAATATCACTTTATCCCTTGGTGAGTGGGTAAATTTAATGGACTCGCCCATTAAAAGCCTAGTTACTATCAACAAGAAAAGAATGAGGCTGTACTATCTTAACTACCTAGCAGCAATAGTTCTGCACCTGTTGTTATGCACTCATGCAAACAAGACAACAAAGAACCAAATCTGACATGGATATATAACCAACCTGAATTCGTGCTTGAATTGCAGTTTTCAATCCTGTATTGCTTTTGGCATCAAAAAACAGCCGAGAAATTAACAAATTCAAGCATAGTATTCCTTCATCAAAACTAAACCTGTCTTCAGATTCTGCATCAGAGGCAACAGATGTATAGTTTTGACTTCCTGAATGAAAGCAGGTTGACAAGGGTGGAACTATTGTATTTTCCTCTACTGAACTATTAGACACTTTATTTGTCACTGAATCTTGTGATGAATGCAGTTTATCAGAAGTTTTTCTCTCTTCACGGATGGATGGGTTTGTCCAAGTACCTTTACTTTCTACAGAAGACTTTGCAGAGGTCTTTCTAGAAAACTTTTTCCAGAACAAGCGAACCTTTGATGAAGATCCATCAAACCTATGTCCTTTATCCGTTGGCTCCGTGTTAAATCCTGTGGAGGGTTTCATAAATGAAGGATATCCTGCATTTAGAGACACCAGAAAACTGTGGAAATCTTCATTCAACTTGGTAAACCAGAGAAGCTTTTCCTTGTCTTCAGATGAAGCAAGACGTAGTGCTTTACACCACGATTCCTTCTCCCATGAAGTCTCAAGATAAAGGTACAAGATTTTACTGCCATCATATATTAGTGAAGTCTTGTTTTCCACTTTTATGGGAAATCTCTTAGCCCTGTCAAGCGCAGAATTAAATGTAAAAGAATAAGCAGTATCAAATTTATAAAAGATAATAAGAGAAAAATGATTTACAAATTATTTAAGTCTATCCTAATAATTTACAAGACCATGAGCACTACAGAGGCAAGACCTTGTTCCAAGGACTAACAACAAAGTCAATGTGATAAAAGGTGCAGCATTCAACCTAAAACCAATGCTAATATGTGGACAGCTCCAACTTAAATGATGTGTAATATTACCACTAATTAAAATTCCACCTCACCTATAAGCTAAACAGAACAACTAAAGCAAGCGTGCCTCTTACATGGGCAACAAAAATAGGTTTACATTACAAACAAAAAACAAGAAAACAAATAAACTAGGCTCTGAAACAATGTTAATGCAAGAGAAACCTAAAACCAATTGGTGGTCAGTGGAAAGGCCATACTTAACAAAACATAAATCAGAAATGATGTTATTTGATCTAAAATAAACCAGAACAACTTGCAGAGCATAGCTTGGAACATATTTTTTTGGAAGTTTTTTATTTTTCTATGGTATGAAATTAAAACCAAACAGAACATGTTTCTTTACCATTTTGTCTAGAGCTAAGAACAAGGGGAGACAGGGTTTGTGAATGGCTTAGAGAACTCCAAAATGAGTCACTCACACTCAACTACACAAGCCAATTGCATGTCTCTTTTGTGACTTTCTGATAAGCAAAATAATATGACATCTATAGCAGTATCTTAAAAATAAGTAGCAGAAAACAAAGTCTAAGTGAAAGGACAATTAACTCGTCAAAACTAAAGCAAACTAATGAGCTAAGATACAAACCTCTTTGACCATCACATAGATTTTGATTTCCTAGAATGCATAAGGCATTTAAGTCAATCATAGGCTAGATAATCAGGGCATAACTTAGGGGACAGACACTTAAAAACATTGATCAGAGGATTTAATATTACCAATTACATTTGAACAAGAGTTTCATCATCCGAAACATAAAAAATAAAATTCAAATTTTGGATATCATGTCAATTTGCTTCTTGTGTGTGCAATTTAGTATCAGCTTATGTACTCTCCATAACGGTCTAGGACAGAACGGCAATGACTTAAAATTTAAAAATGGCATTGAATAAAGGTCCACAATTATTTATCAGTAATAAAGATCACCAATTGATTATTTTGAACTAGGTGCAGGCAAAAAATGGCAACAATGGTATTGAGTGATCTATATTCTCTTGCATCAACTTAGAACTGCAGATGCCTAAGATTTAAAGAGAGAAAAAGAACAGGAAATGGAAGCCTTTGCGCCAACTCTCCTTTTCTATTTATCAACATTGTATAGCAATACTGATAGCTATGAGAATCAGTGGTGAAAGTTGAATAAGAAATTCATCTGTATCAAATAGATTCTGGAAAAGGCTACATTACCATTTTCTTGAGGGAAAGCTAGATGCAGAAACTGCTTCAATTGTACAGCCTTTCAGCTGAATGGTTGTTGTTTTGGTGCCATCAGTATCTTTCAAGATTAATTTCTGATCCTTGACTATAGCATATTTCTGAACCGGTGATACCTCAAAGAAATCTCTTTTTCTCTTTTGCTCTCTGAGCACTTTTTCCACCAGGGAATTTTTTGGAACTTTCTCTGGTTCTAGAATCCAAACCATCCCCTGAAAAACATATAAGGAGCTAGCAAATAAGAAACAGATTGAAAAATATAACAAAAGAAACACATTTAACCTGCAGCATAATAACTTCAAAATTCCAATCATAGTTGCTCTTTGAATCTCAACTGCGGATGGAGAACAGTCCAGACAACTAGCTTAACTGTGATTTTGTGTCCAAAGAAGAACTGCATTTTCTTTGCCAGGGATTCAGAAAGCAAGATATTAATACAGCAGACAATATGAATTATGGATAATACCCATCACAAACTGATTCAACACTTGAAATACCCACGAAAAATAAATGATCCAACACTTTAGAAACCAATTTCCTATTTGTTTGTTTTGAAATAATAGTAAAAAACCAAAAACCAAGGTTTGGTGGCAAAGACTTAATATTTGAGTCAGCCAGACTGTTGTTTTCTCTTCTAATTCGTTCATCTTCTACATGCACAATGATGGGTTTCCCTTGGAATTATCTCAGCAACTCCCTAAGACAGGACCCCCATGATATCAATAAACACAAACATACCTGCTTGTTGTCGGCGAAATCGAGAGACTGTTGAGAATCAACTTCTCTGCAAATTCCTTTCTTAGCCTCATCAACGGAAGACTCTTGTTTGGTCTTCTGACTCAACCGACTCAACACGTACAGCACCCCAACAGCTTCCAAAGCCAGAATTGCCAGCACCCCAACAAGAAACCCACTAAGTAAAAGACTCAAAGACAGTATCATTCTTCAATTGGGTACTGAAGACGATCGCCACCAATTCATGAATCCAAAAATTCAAAGTGAGACGCAGGAAACGAAACCCAGACGGAGTTTTATGCTTGCTTTGAAAGGCAATAATTATTATTGGAATTAAAGAGGAAAACTAGAAATAAAGTGTTGATTTGACTCCTGTGGGTTATCTGCCGAATAGGAATCGTTAGGGGACGGTGCGGAGATGGAGAGCTTTTCTGGAATTGAGGAGGAAGAAAGCGCGTGTTGAGTTTTACCAACGAG